CAAAACCTGGGAAAGATGTGTGGCAGCAGGTCAAAAGCAAGTGTCAGGCTGGATGGAACTCTGAGCTGTCCCTCTCTGAGGGGTTTCAACAAGATGAGCTTTCAGGTCCCTTCCAACCCTTCTGTGATTCTGTGGTCTTTCCATTTAGGAGTCCCAGCTCCTAATTTTTAATGAGCAGAGCCAGCAGGGCTGCTCACATCCCTCTCCAGGGAGAGAAGTGTGTGGAATGACCACACAATGCCAATGTCCAGCCCTGCACTTAGAACTCCCCATCACATCCAGTAAGCACAGGCTAAGCTGCTCACCCCCTCCTCCTCCTCCTGGGCTCCTCCAGTCCCACTGTGTGACAGCCCAGCAATGCCCTCACACAGCCCAAGGACATTTAAACCACAGCTCAGCATTGCAATGCAACTGTAAGCCAAGAATTTCTATTTTTTTTTAAATGGGAAACACCCTCAAACTGGGCACTGGATGATTTGCCATCAGTGGGGGTCACTGGGGATGAACTACAAAATTTGCACAGTGCAGGGGTAGCAGCTTCCTGATGGGCTGGGAGACTGTGGCTGGGGTGGCAGCAACAGATGCAGGGCTGGAGCCACAGGGAGCTAAGGATATAAGCAGCAAGGTCTGCAGGAATATGTAATGCCTTTTAATAGACCAGCTGGTACAGTTGGGAAAAAAACCCACAAGCACACAAACCCTCCTTTGAGCTGGTGCACCTTCATGCCTGGCCATTTTTTCCAGCTGCATCACTTGCTCTATTAAAAGACATTACAGCTCCCTGCAACCCTTGTCTCTTCCTTTGGCCAGTCCTTCCCAGGATGAGCAATCTAGGTCATCCTGATGATACCTGTGATACCTGACAGCCTGCTGAAATGAAATAAAGATTTTGGCCCTAACACATGGAGCAGTGAATGTCCTGTGCACAGGCCAGAGAAAATGTGTTGTCCTTTAAAGCCAAGGGCTTAAAGCTGTCACTGCTTCCATCAGTGCACGTGGCTGTTTGGACACCTGGAGGACCTCCAGGAGTCTTTGGGCACTTGTGTCAGCCTTGCAGGAATGAGGAAGCCAGGGCTGGTGGGGTGGGATGTGGGACTGCTTTGGGAACAAACCACAGAGGGACGCTGGAGTGGATGAAAGCAGATTCTGCCCTCTGTGACCATGTTTCATGGACACAGCCCTCACACCTCCTCACTGGGTCTGCAGCCCCCAGAGCAGCCAAACCCAGCAGCCCTGGGTGCCCCAGGAGCAGCACAGGTCCCATTCCCACCCCACTCCTGCCTGACCTTTCCTGGAAGCTCAGAGGAGGTCACTGTGTCCTGACAGCTCCGAGCAGCTGGGACTGAAGCTGCCCAGCAAGGCCAGGCTGGAAGGAAGGAAGGAAGTTATAGCAGGCTTTTAAATAGTGCTATGCAATACCTGAAACTTCTATTTCTGTGCACAGATAATATGGTTTCCATATTCTCCTCCTTCTCAGCAGACCAAGCCACTCACACTCCAGTTGAATTAGCAACAACCATCACATTCTTCACCAGTTTAAACCATTAAAGCTCAGTGAAGCCACTGTGTAGGACAATCCCAAGCTGTAAACTTCACCCTATGAAGAATGTATAGACGTCCTTCCATGTTTGCTTCCCACTCCTATTTTTCCTTTATAAGCAAGCAATGGATTGCAGGTGGCCTTGCAGCCCCTGCACACCAATGCAGCTTCCCAACAAGGTTACATCCACCCCTTCAGGCTTAGGCAGGGAACCATGGAACCAGGAGGATCCTCAGGGCTTCCTGAGGTTCATACACAGCTATACCCAGCAGAGCCACGTGGGGTTTGCAGTACTGGTGAGGACAGCTTGGCTGTCATTATGAAAATACCCTCACACTTGGAAAAAAAACAAACCAACAAACCACCAAGACAGAACTCCTCCAAACTAAATATCTTTGCTTCTCTGTGGCAATTAACCAGTTAAAAAATTTTCTTCCTTGAGTTCTCCCATCACATTTGCCATTCATCAGACCTCTCATCTTGAGTCTACCAGGCAAGAAACAACCTGGACACCTTTGCTGAAATGGGTTTTCCTCCACACCTGGTGCACACACCTGAGGGCTCTGAGCCCAGCACCACCAGTCAGGGAGGATCTCTGAGTTCTGGTGTCTCTTTGGGACCCTCCTGATCTCTGCTGTTGGTGGTAACAGTTCCAGGGATGGTGACCATCCACCGTGGACCACAGCAGGGCTGCCACCTTCTCCTAAGCACCATCACCTGGGAGTAACATTCCAGTTTTCCCATCTCCCCACAGGGCTGGGACAAGCAACAGGTCCTGCATGTACAGAACAACTCAGTTCTCCCAGTGTAATTCCAACACCTGCTCCAGGACATTAGCCCAGCAGTTCCATTGAGCTGGTGACAGACAGAATATGGAAACCCCTTCCCAGACAGTGGATTTCATGGAAAGGGAACATCCCCTGCCCTACAGCCCCGACCAGGGATGACAATGGGACACCTACAAGCAGGAAGCCACTATTTCCAAGTCAGCAAACACCAGGAAAATGTACCAGGAGCCACCTCAGGCCCCAGCCTGGGAAGGAATCGAGCCCAAATTAGTAATGCAAACACCAGGATTCAAAGAGTAACGAGTAATGCAAGGTTTGATGACAACGCTGCTGTTCAGGACTTGGTGTGATTCCATTGCCAGGGAAGAGACCAGTGCCAGACTGCCAAACAGGCGTGGAACAGGAGTGATTTAAGGAATACAGGTGGTTTTAGGAAAGCAGCACCAACGCAGGAGACTAAAAGCTATTTCCTAACCAAGCCTGGTTACAAATCTCAGCTCAGCTTCCCTGCACTACAACAGGAGTGCCAGGATGCACGGATCCATCCATCCCACGGGAAAGCCATACAGAGGGGATGCTCAGTGAGAAAGAGGAGCTCAGTGGATCCAGGTTTTGGCATCGCAGTTACAAATGCCCTGGAGGAAGAGATCATTTTTGGAAGGCAGGCCAGGGAGAGCTCAGGCAGCTCCACCAACGCAGCAAGGGCCAGGCAGGGGCTGGGTGCCAAGCCCTGCACGCAGGAGAAATCCTCGCGCCAAGCAAGGTCACCGGGATTACAGGGGCAAGCAGGGATTGCTCGCACGAGTGGAGATGGGAAGGGCCCAACCCTGGTCTGCACCCAGCCTTACACTGAGAAAATGCCACCACACAGGCGGCCCTACGTGACTCTGTGTCCAGGGCCACTTCAGAGCCCTGCTTTCCTTCACAATTTGCCTTTCCTGATGGCAGGAGGCAAATCCCCCCCCGCCCAATTCCCTGGCCAGCTGAGGGGACACAGCTACTGCCAAACCCATAGCGGGAATGAAAAGCTGAGATGCTGATAAAAAAAAAAAAAAAATTAAAAATATATTGCTCACACCAACTCGCAGAGGGAATCACAGCAAAGCTGTGCTGAAGCTGGCACGGGAAGCTGCAGATTTATCCAGGAGCAGCCGAGTTTGGAGAATGTGTTCCCTCCCGGCCCCCCCCCGGGGCCTCCCCACCCAAAGGGATGGATGAGGTTCATCCCTTCAGCTGTTTATAAAAGCAGCAGCATTGCGCCCAGACGCACTCGGCAGCATTCCTCCCTCTCATTCCTGCGAGCTATATAAGGGAACGGCCAATTCCAGCCTCGCTCCCCCGTAGCCAGCCCCGATCCCTCTGCGCCGGAGCAGCTCCAGGCTCGGTTTCCTGCAGAAGGACTTAAATCCGTCCTCGGTGGAACACGGCGCTGCGCTGGACCTTGTCATCAAATGGCAGCGCAGGCAGCTGCCAAATCCTGCCGGCTCGGTGCTCTAATAGGGAACAGCTGGAGAAGGACCCTGCATTCCTCCCGCCCCGTGCACACCGGGGGCTCTGTTCGGGATCCGGCCGCAGGATTTCCATCCATCCATCCATCACGGAACGCAGCCGGCCGCTCCCCGGCACTGCTCTGCCACGCACAGCCCAACACCCGAGAGCTTCCAGCCCCCTGCGGTTTCGGTGCTTGGGAATGGGGGGTTTGCTTTGATTTTTTTTATGGGATTTTTTTGGTTTGGGATTTTTTTTTTTTTTTTGAGAGGTGTTGGAGAAACAGAACTGCGCAACTAAATGATATTTCACCTTCCCTGCTGGCCCTCTGTGTTACAAAAACTCTACTTTAAGCAACTTGCATCCCTGTGTACATCCGCGCTTAGGAACGCACACATCTGTAACACACCCCCCATAAATAAATACGGGAACACACGGCGCAATTCGCACGGCGCCCGTGCCATTCCCATCCTGCCCCAACTCCCATTTACTTTGGAGGAGTTGAGCAACTTGGAATGGCAAATAAATAAAAGAAAAATACACTCTCGGTAGCCACGCACATTTGCTGTCCTGCACCCTGCACGCTCAGTAACACGAAACAGTCCACTCATATTTTCTCAGAGCTCTGCTGAAACACAAGGGGGTATTCAGAGCCGCAGGAAAAAAATGCGTCCAAACAGGATCTGAATGATGAAATAGGAATTGCCACATTTAACAGGAAAAAAAAATAGGATAACCCAGTTGCCCAGACCTTTATACAATAACAGTTCGTCTGAGGTAGCGATGGGCTGCTTCTGCATGTTGCAGAGAGCAAAGCAAGCCACGTTGCCCAAAAGAAGCCTAGAAAATCCAGACTCTACGTGACCTGACTTACTTATTTCACAGGAAACTGCATGGAAGGAGGAAGGGGGGGCAAGGGGGGGAAAGGAAAAAAAAAAAAACCCACCAATCATTCATGCTACCGTAGTTACACCACGCCATGGAGCGGAGTAGTTTGCTGTGAAAAACCAAACTGAAATAAGCCAAACCCCGTTTGGAAAATAAAACGCGAGCAGAGAACCGAGTTGGAGGAGCCCCCCCGGCTCCCAAACCGCACCCGTTTCTCGGGTGTATTTTTTTTTTTTTTTTTTTTTTTAATTTCGACGGCATTAGAGCACCGCCCGAGAAGGCTCGCCACCACTCACCGGGGTTGTTGGCCTCCCCTTCGAGGATGTGGAGCTCGGTGCAGTCTGCCAGGGAATGCTCGAGGCAGAGCTGGAGGAAGCGAGCCTGGGTCCGGCTGACGCGTTTGAGCAGGGAGAGCAGCGCAACAGTCTGCTCGCACTCGTTCCAGCCCTTGAACCACCCGGCCAGCACGCCAACCTGGTCTCGGAACATCATGGTGAGCCGGAGGGACAGCTCTGCGGGGAGAGAATAAATAACCGGGACAGCCTCCCTGCCCCGGCGCCGCTGCCGCCACCGTGCTCGGGTCAGGGGTATTAAAAATAAAAATAATAATAATAATAATGATTAAAAAAAGAAAAAAAAAAATTCTCCTTTGCGACGCGAAGGGCGGGTTTGGTTTCTGGACGCGGCTCTCGGCCTGGGCTGGGTTTTGCTCCCTCTCTTCTGGCTCCGGTGCAGCGCTGGATTCCTGGAGGGAGGGAGCGAGGGAGGGAAGGAGGGAGGTGGTGGGGCCGAAAAAAAAAAAAAAAAAAAAAGCCAAAAAAAGGAAAATCCCAGCGTCAGGGCTGCAGCCAGCGAGGGGAACGACCTCCTCCCGGCGGGGGCTTCACACCTGGAAGAGAGAGAGAGAGGAGGGGGCGTCAGGGGGGCTGCGGGAGGACGAGGAGGATGGAGAGGAAGGCTCCCACTCAGCCCGCTGCCTTCCTCCCACTCTTCCCCCACCGTCACCGCGATCCCCCCACATCCAGCACCGCCATTTGGGATGGGGGGGGGGAGCACCCAGCACAATCCCCCCCCCCACTGCAGCACAGTTCCCCCCCCTCCCCAAAAGTTCTCCCCCGCACACACACTCCGTATAAAAACACACTCACCTGACTCATAGCGGCCCCGGCGATCGGGGGAGGAGGGGGCGGCGCGGCGCTTTAAGGTGGCCGTGCCATGTCCATGGGATGAAGGGGGGGGAAATGAGGGAAGGAGGCGGGAAAAGGGAAAAGGGAAAGAGGGGAAGGGGGGGGGGGCGCGCGCGCGCTCCGCGGCGCGAGACTGAGCCCGGCCGCGCGCCGGGCCCCCGCTCCCCCATGTCGCTCATTTGCATACGGGTGACGTCATCGGAGGGTGGGCGGGGCCGAGGCGCGCGGCGGAGGGGGGAGCCCGAGGGGGACGCGCGTCCCCCGTGTGTCCCCTCTGTGTGTCCCCCCCCCTCCCAGCTCTGCCACTCCCCTCGGGAATTTTGGGCGCTCCTCCTGCCCGGGGAATGCTGGAAAACACACTCCGGATCCCCTCCCTCCTTCCCTCCCTCCCCGCGCCGCGGCCGAGCTCCCGCTGGAGGAAACCACCCTCTAGTGGGCTGCGGGGTAATGGCAGCGGGGGTGTTTTGGGGGGAAAAAGCGCCGCTTTGGGATCTGGTAACTGTGGCCTCGTCCCCTAATGGTAATTTTTAAAACTTTTTTTTTTCCATAGTTTTGCATATTAGATATACTTGTTAGATATGCATGGATTTAACCCCATCAAGTGCCAAGTGTGCAGGGACAGGATTTGTGTATCATTTCCTGTGCAGATTTTATTTCCCTTTCCCATTTCTCATTTATTTACTTTCGTTTTTTCTTTTTTCTTTTTTAATTCTTCCTTTATTTCCATCCCATTTCAAGGGGTGAGTGATCCAGGTATATACAAGAAGGGAAATGGGGGAGAAAAAACCCTAAGCACAAGTGTTTGCAAGGAGGCATCCAACACTGAACATAATCGAACATTTTATAAAGCAAAAATAAAGGTGTAAAGTGCTTTTATCTGTGGGCTTTTCATTTGTGGGAGTATCTGTCAGTTTTAAGCCATTTCTTCTTGTCTGGTCACTCCAGGCTGTTGTCCAAAGTGTGTCTCCAGCTCTCTCAGAGCCCCTTTAGGAGTTCCCAAAATACCTGATCCAAGCTCAGGAACAAGTGACACTGGTACCTCTGCCCAGGGCAGTGTTGGAGTCCCCACCCCTGGAGGGATTTAAAAGATGTGTGGATGTGGCACTTGGGGACAGGGGTCAGTGGTGGCCTTGGCAATTCTGGGGGGAATGGTTGCCTTCAATCTTAGAGGGCTTTTCCAACCTTAACAATTCTGTGATTCCATGATTCTGCCTTTCCAGCATCTCCCAGTCCTCATCACTTTGAAGACAGGGAAGCTCAGAATTGAGAGACATGCCCAGGTGTCAGGACATGGTCTGGGAGGGAGAAACGATGGAATCATGGCAAAGGGGGGGACTGAACCCCTCCACCAGTGAGTCACAAAATCACAGATCTTAAAGCTCATTTCATTCCAAACCCCTGACATGGCAGGGACACCTTCCATTGTCCCAGGCTGCTCCAAGCCCTGTCCAACCTGGCCTTGGACACTTGCAGGGATCCAAGGGCAGTCACAGCTGCTCTGGACACCCTGTGCTAGGGCCTGACCACCCTCCCAGGGAAGAATTCCTTCCCAGTATCCCATCCATCCCTGCCCTCTGGCAGTGGAACCTATTCCCCCTTGTCCTGTCCCTCCAGGCCCTTCTCCCAAGTTCCTCTTCAGCTCTCTTGGAGCTGCTTTAGAAATCCATCCCCTACAGGTGGCTGTGTGCTCTGGTGGGGGCTGGAAAAAGGAACACTCCATGTTTGGGCTTCCTTTGGTTGCTTTTAAAGCTGCATGTGTCTGAATCTGCCCCTTTTGGGGGGAAAATAGTAGTGGGGAACCAAAGGCCACCCAAAATCACCAGGAACACCTGGTCCCATGTGCTGGAGCATCAATCCCACTTCAGGATGACAAGATGAGGATCACCAGGTAGACATCAAGTGCAAATGGTCCATCTCACCACACTTGGAGTTTGCTTTTAGCTCTCAGCCTGTCTGGTGACTAATTAAACAAACAGGACTTCCCTGCCAACAAACCCCGGCCATCTGCCTCATCCTCCAGCTCCATCCCAATCCATGCTCCACCAAGGTGCCCCTTTCCCCTCAAAGAAGTGCTGGGAGCCCTCCTGCAGTCGGGGTGTGCTCTGGGATGGCCGTGGAGCCGTCAGGATGCGCCGTCTGCCGCGCCGGGTGCGCGTCTGGCGCGGGAGCACCAGGAGCTCCGGGTGGGAACGCTCACACCCCGCTGATTCAAGGGTTGCCAAGCTGGCTGTGCCAAGAACGCCTCCCAGGTTTTGCATTTTGCATGTCTAAAGTGGGAATAGCAGTGATGGGAAGGATATTTAGGGCTGAAGCAGTAAATGCATCCCGCTGTGAGGCGGGGAAGGGCGGTGGGAATGGTGTCCCCCCACACCAGCAAGCTGTGGAGCAAAAAAGGACCAGAGCCACAGTTTCTATCCTGTGCTCCAGAAGATACCAAGACCATGCTCACTAATTAATCCGAAAATAATCCCCCACCATTTAGGACCCCACAGTTCCTGTTCCCCAGAGTGTCCCAAGGAGGCAGCTGTGGAGGAGTGAGACCCTGACGTAACAGCACACGCCTGATGTTTGGAGGTTTCTATGGTAATTAAAAAACAGATCTGTGACCCGTGGAAGAAATTCCTTGCTGCATTCCGTGCTCTGCAGGGCGGGTGCCCGTGCAGATCCGTGTGATGGAAGGATCCTCAAGCTGGCTGGGAGCAAGTCTCCTTCCCTGACTGCAGTGGGGGCACTCAGCAACACCCCCGTGGCCACCTCTCTTCCCTGCAGATGGAGAACCCAGAGTGCAGACCACGTGTCCTGGGAGCACAGACACCCCAGGCAGAACACAAGGCAGATTGAGCGGAGAAGCAGGGTAATTCTCTTTTATATGGTAATTCCTGTGGGACCTTGGGGTCTCTGCAGATCCAGCTGGAGCATTTCTGCAGGGCTGCAAGTGCCTGGGTAGGAAGCAGAGGCTTCCCCTGTTAGTGGGGCTGTGCATTGTCTGTGTTGTTGTGGGCTGGGGTGGGTCACGGAATCACGGAATATCCTGAGCTGGAAGGGACCCACAGGATCATCCAGTCCAACTCCTGGCCCTGCACAGACACCCCAACAATCCCACCCTGGGCCTGAGGGCGTTGTCCAAATGCTCCTGGAGCTCTGGCAGCCTTGGGGCTGTGACCATTCCATGAGAAGCCTGTTCAGTGCCCCACCAGCCTATGGGGGAAGAACTTTTCCTGATATCCAACCTAAACCTGCCCTGACAGCTCCAGCCATTCCCTGTCACTGCCACTGAGAGCAGAGATCGAAGCTGCACCCTCCATGAGGTCTCCCTTCAGCCTCCTCTTCTCCAGGGTCAGTACAGCAACATTTGGATTTGTGTTTACCATTTCAGAGGGAAAACAAGAGGCCTGTGGTTATATTAACCAAGCAGGTGGTCTAAGCAAATTAGTGAATCGTGATGATTCCCGAGTTCAAAGGAAGCAGTTGCTCATCTCTGTGGAAGCTATCTGATAACATATTTAGCTGAAGAAAGGATGAGTGTATCCACCAGCACACAATGGCCCAGATTTCCTAGCTCATTAAACCCAAATATTAGTGAAAATACCATGGTAAGCAGGCTGAGATAATTAAACACAATATCACTTCCATTTGTTCCTAAACACAGAGTGGGAATTGGCCACTGGGATGGCAGCATTTCTCTTACCTTGGGTGGTGAAGTAGAGCTGTAAAATTCACAGAGAAAAACACCTTTCAAAAAGCAAACTCACACCAAAAAGAAATAGAATAAAGTTAAAAATAAAAAGTAAACAATAAAACCTATGTGGGTCTGTATTTCCAAACTGGATGAGGCAGACATTAAAAAAATCACAGACTCCTTGAAGGATTTTGGTTGGAAGGGACCTTAAAGTCCATCTTCCAGCCTTAACATGACCTTCCACATGGATCAGCTCCCAGTGTGGATGTACAACCACTGCTTCTTAAGCCCTGTTAGTAGAAAATGAAGTGTTGCACAGGCCAAATCCTGGTGACAGCAGCACGGGCTGACTCCTCTGATGCTGGAGGCAGGGATCACTGGGTGATGGAGGATGAGGGCTGGTAGGAAAAGCACATTTAACCCTCTGGCTTGAGCTGCAACTGCAGATCTGACAGGGAAAGAGGAGTGGCAGCATCTGGGTGCAAACACCTGGGGAAAGGAGCACTGGGAAATACTGGTTAGCATGGAAGGGCTGCTGACATTGTATTTGTTCAGCCATTGTCAAGGGGGTGCTGTGAGAAGATCCCATGTCCTCCCTGAAATGCTGGGAGTGCACGGACATCGCCTCTCCAGCAGTGTCAGCTCCGCCCTGCACGCTGGATGAGCTGGCTCACAGGGACCCCAGGGACACAGAGCCAACAAAATAAATCAGCTTAACTAATGGTGCTCAAAAAACCACCCCTGGCAAATGTATCACAGGCTGCTCTCGTGCCTGGAGATGCCAACAGAACCAGTAATGAAGAGGAGCTGAGGGAGAAGGGGATGCAAAAAAGGTTGTGAAGGATTTCCCGTAAGTTTCACTGGGCTCTGCCAGTTTCAAACAACCCCTTGAATATAAACATTGCAACATCTGA